TTAAATTTATCATGTATGTAATGGACGTAATTTTAAATTTTCCTTCGTGCTAACAAATTGATTGTGATAAGGAAGTGCTCCCGCGGATTTCTCTTTTTCAGACTCTCTTTTAGTCTTTACCTCTCCTCTATTGCCATTGAATTTGCTTTATCTTTTTTAATTGCTTATTTATGCTTTCTCAACACATCTTTATGACCTCCAGAAAGTGTATTTTGTGTGTCTGGAGACTTTTGGCCCATTGGTGGGTCGATATTTATTTATAAGAGTAATGTTTGCACGTGGTTGGTGCCTGAGCAATGCCCATTATCCGATGCTAACAAATGACGTCGACCCATTTCTTTATTTGAATGTGCTTTAGGAGAAGCAGCATTTGAGGAACCAACCAGAATTTGGGGAGAAAAGTGTACAAAATCAGACATTGTGATTAACCAAGGCCCCACAGCTCCACTTCCAACTGGTATTCCCACCTACACTGTGGAAGTGGTGAATGCTTGTGCTACAGGCTGTGACATCCATGGCATTCATTTCAAATGTGGCTGGTTCAGCTCGGCCCACCTCATCAATCCCAGAATCTTCAAGCGCCTTCGCTACGACGACTGCCTCGTCAACGACGGCAAGCCTCTGGTCTACGGCGGAACTCTCTCCTTCCAGTATGCTAACACTTTTCCCTATCCGCTATCAGTCTCCTCAGTTGTCTGCAACTGAAATGACACGCTCCAAACCATCTAGGAGACGCTCATATGATGCACACTAGAACCAGCAGGTACTTTAGTCGATTACTGATTGACAGTGGCCCCCACCTGCCTTTTCTTTTCCTTTCTTTTCAATTTTTGGGTTCTGCTTTTGCTTTACATGTGCGTGGCCTTGTGTTTCTGTTCCTGCTCCTACGAAGTTTTTCTTTTAGAGAGGTCTGATTTTTACAGTCATCTTGAGGTTTAAGGGAGAAGGTTTGTGGTCTAATAATGGTCATGGCACCAACTTTTCGTATACATAGATGGTGAGATAGGGAAGAAATGCTAGAAACCTATTTCATTTCAATATTTTTTTTGGGTGTGTGATGAGATAGGCGATCGAGGTAGGTAAGGCCAAAGTGTATATATATAGTTATATACAATCTGATAGCATGATGTTAGTGTCACAAATTCAGGAGATTCAAAGCCCCATTATATGCAAGAATATTTCTCTGTTTGTTTGGTTGCCTATAAATTATCTATTAATTTGTCACATCCTCTCTCACGCGGAACACATTTGTAGGCCATGATTCATCAATATAGAAAGAAAGCTGGTTTTCCTTTTTGTTGGTTTCGCCTTTTCTAACTTGGTAAATTCTTCCCTTGAGCCTTTTTTGGTATGCCTTTGTCCGTGTGTTTTTGGGCTCTAGACAATAATACGCACATCTAAAGGTTTGGTGTGTCAATCGTGTTGAATGGACATAGACTTTTCGAGTACTTTGAAGGAGTAAAATAGATATTGTCCTCTTTGGATTTTCCATTATGAGTTTCCTTCCTCTCAAGGTTTTAAAATGTGTCTACTAGAGAAAAGCTTACGTACCCTTATAAAGATGTTCATTTTTCTCTTCAACCGGTGGGAGATCTCACACCATGAATGCCTAATGGTTTAGGTGTCTTCCAAGTCTACATGATTGGACAATGATATATTTAGAAAAATGTGTATTATTGTTGGGAGGGATTGGTTTCACAAGTGAAAAACGTGGTGTATGCCCAATTTTCTTTTTTCCTTCAATTCTTTTGTCATTTTATGGATGTGGGCCGTCTGGGTCGTAGTATCTAGAAGGCCCAATGGGCCCACATCCATGGCATTTTCTTCTCTTCTTTGTTGGCTTATTTTGTCAACTCAGTCCCCAGTGGTTAATATTCTAAATCTGTACTATAATTTCCACATATACCCTTGAACTTGTGGAATTTAGGTACCCATCTAGTAATTTGGTCAAATTTATTGGGTGGCCAGCTTGATATAATTACGGACCATATCTTCTTAATTCCACATGCAGGGAATTGGGCTGAAGACTCCATCCAGTCTTATTTTATGCACATATCCCAAGAACAAATTCTTTTTATTTTATTATATAAATCTCAAGAAATTCCCCTCAATAGGGTTTTTGAAAACAAGTTTCTTAAAGTGAAACATATAATTTGAAAGTTCATCCATGTGATCTTTCATTCTATAAAGAAGTTTCAAAGATTTGACGGTCAAAGCTAATAGGACGGTCAAAGATTTGCGTTACTTAAATCAACATTCTCGCTCCTGCTTCGTCCACCATTGCTCGCATAGGTGCTTCCCTCTAAGGCAGAACTCTCCCCTACTGATGCATTTTTACATCCCACAGCTTCGACAAATCGCTTAGCCTTGTTCATCTTCGGCGCAAGAGCGCTTGATTAGTTAGCTATTACGCACTCTTTCAAGAGTGGCTGTTTCTAGGCAAACCTCCTGGCTGTCTTTACACCCTTAACTCATTTATCACTCAGCTATCATTTAGGAGCCTTAGCGGGTGATTCAACTGTTTCCCTCTCGACGATGAAGCTTATCCTCTATCGTCTCACTGGCCGACTTTGACCCCTGTTATTTAGAGATGATCATTTTTAGAAGTTGTGAGACTTTTTAGATATCCAACTAAACCATAAGGGTTAGATTGCTTAAGAACTTTTGTAGTTAGATCAACCCGACCAACCTTAAAATAGGGTCCACAACCCAACTCTAAGATTGGTATAGAGATTAAGAATAGTTGACATTTGCAATAGAAGGTAACAATAGATTATGACTATGACTTGTATGAACAAGTATGAACAATTTGGCGACCTAACCTAACCTAATCTTATTTGAATTAGATTGTGAACCCTATTTAAATCACCAATCCAAATTGTTCGAAATTTTGGTTGTTCTAAAAAATTTCTAACTCAGCTCATGTATGCTTTGGAGTTCAATAGAAGCGTTGGTGGTAGGGATGGGATTAGGAAATAAACCAATCTTTCTCTCTCTTAATTAGTGCTTTATTGTACGAAATAGAAGTAATTAAACTCCTCTTTGCTACGCATTGTTTATTAGCTGATTTGCTTTGCTTTTTTGGATTTTATATTAATGAACATATTAATTTATCTTATTATATATACCTTTTTTTTTTGTTTTTTTTTTTGGCTAAACTTTATGAATTAATAATTATAATTATAATTTTTGTTTCTCTTGGTCTTATTCAATGGATTGAATCAACTTAAATCCACTTTTAATAATGTTTAATGGAAGGATTATCCAAAATTAATTTTTTTTATTGAAAATAATTTTGAAAATTGTAAAATATATTTACATTTTTATTAAAAATATTCAAGTTAAAAAGTAATCCAAACGATCAAGGAATTTTTTTTTTCGAAGTGATTTTTTTTCTGGATTTCCTCTAATTGTTTAAAACGCGTCTGTTAGAGAGAGGTTTTCACACATTTGTAAAAAAATGTTTTGTTCCCTTCTCGGAATCTCACAATTCACCCCTCTTCGAGGCCCAACGTCCTCACTAACACTCGTTCTCCTCTCCCATCGACGTGGAATTTCACAATTCACCCCCTTCGGAACCCATCATTCTCGCTGGCACAGCCCATAATATCCACCCTCTTCGAGGCTCCATGTCTTCACTGACACATCGCTCGATGTCCACCCCTTCGGAGCTCAGTGTCCTTGCTAGCACACTACCCGATGTCTACCCCCATCGGGGCTCATTGTTCTCGCTAGCACACTGCCTGTTGTCCACCCCCATTCGAAGTTCAGTGTTTTCGCTGGCACACTACTCGGTACCTAGCTCTAATATCATTTGTAACAGCCTAAGCTCACTGTTATCAGATACTGCCATCTTTAGGTTTTTTCTTCTAGACTTCCCCTCAATGGTTTAAAATGCGTTTGTTGGGAGACTTTCACACCGTTATAAAAAATGTTTGTTCTCTTCTCTGATCGATGTGAGATCTCACACCTTACAAGACCCATCTCCATAGAAGAAGAATGAACATCTCTAACTACTACTATATGTGCAATGTGCAACTCAGTAGCCCACATTAGTTTTTGTTACTCATTGTAACGATCCAAGAAAAATGAAAGTTCTTAAACAATGAAGAACAACCGAACCTAACCTTAAAAGCTTAGAAACATTTCAAACAGTTTAACGTGAAATAAACGTGTTACATAAGTTACACAAGTTGCAACTTTTTCACATTATCTTCAACTTTAATACCCACTTCACAAAGGTGTAAACTTTATACATATATGGTTACCTAAATTTTAGGCAGCTTAAATTTTGTTCTATCACTCAACTTTTTCGTACAAAAAGCATAGAAATATTGGAGGGTTAGGCTTCAAATGGGTAATCATAGAGTGTTTTCATTATTTTATGTGTTCAAAAGCCACGTAAACAGCCAAAGTTTAAGACATTCAAAAGCCTCTCATACCCACTTTCTCATCTTTAATATAATCAAACGACACAATCTATCCATAAGATCATAAAGCTACCCAACCCACCTTTCCAAATGGTAGGCATAGCTAAATTAATCAAGAAAAGAAAAGGCTACAACTGTTGAGGATTGGTGGGAGGGAGTTCCACGTTGGCTTATTAAAAGGACAAGGGTTTGTAAGTAAGGAATATATCTCCATTGGTACGAGGCCTTTTGAGGAACCTCAAAGCAAACTCATGAGAGCTTATGCTCAAATTAGGTCGTGATTCCTGACATAGTATCAGAATCACGCCCTTAACTTAGCCATGTCAATAGAATCCTCAAATGTCGAACAAAAAAGTTGTGAGTCTTGAAAGTGTAATCAATAAGTGACTCAAGTATCGAACAAATGGTGTATTTTGTTTGAGGACTCCAGAGAAAGAGTCAGGACTCGGTTAATAAGCCTCAGGGGAGGCTCTTAGTGTATTTTATTCGAGAAGAGGATTGTTGGGGAAGTCCAAAGCAAAGCCACGAGAGTTTATGCTCAAAATGAATAATATCTACCATTGTGGAGAGTCGTGATTTCTAATAACAACATTCAACCAAAGCTCTTGTACTTTTTTTTTTCATGAAAATGAAGAACTTTACATGATTTTTTACATGGTGGCAAGAACATTCAAAGAAGAACAAAGTTTAAGCATTGCAAAGAAACTCGAGCAACAAAGGAAGAACACGAGGAAATTGAAAAACATTTCGAATAATTAAGCATTTGGGTCTGTAGTTTTGTCGTTGTCTTTATGGTTTAGATCCAATTTGCTGTCGAGTTTGGCTTCGTTGGTTGTTATTACCTCAATCTCTATGGCGGCGGCAGAAGGTGGCGGCGGCGAAGAATCTTTGTCCTTGTCGGAGTTGGTGGTCGGAGGAATGGCGGCGGCAGTCATTACAATATCTATTGTGTGTTCTGGTAGCTTCATTTCCTTTGCTTTGGCTGTTTCATGCTTCTTGTAGATTAAATATAGTATCATTTGAGCTACTCCAAATATGAATCCAAGGACATTTGGAAGCTGGTGATGATCAAAACATGGAGTTCAATCATTAAATTGTTAATAGAAAGAATAGAAATTTAGAGATTTTGTGTCTAATAACAAGTTTAAATCTTTTTAAAACGTGTTATAGGTTTAAACGATCGTTTTCTATTCATTCGGGTCTTTCAACGTCATTTTTTAAAAAAGTGTTAAAGGTTTGATCCTGTAGAATTTGACCCATTTTTTTATTGAGTAAAAGTACGAAATAAATTGAATTGATTTTTCGGTCGAAAATACGGGTTCCCTCGTCTATGATCCCTAAGGAAGAGGATCAAGTTCTCTAACAGCGCCTATTACGTATCACCGTCAGTCTTACGATTTTAAGATGCGTTTGCTAGGGAGAGGTTTCCACGCCCTTATAAGAAATGTTTCGTTCCTCTCTCCGACTAATGTGTGATATCACAATCCACCCTCTTGGATTCGGTGACCAACTCTGGTACAATTTATAACAGCTCAAGCCCACCGCTAGTAGATATTGTCCGCTTTGATCCATTACGGAGATTTTAAGACGCGTCTACTAGGGAGAGTTTTCCAAACCCTTATAAAGAATGTTTTGTTCTCCTCTCCAACTAATCTGGTATATCACACCCCACCCCTTTGGAGGCCAGCGTCCTTACTCGGCTCTCTAATACGATTTGTAACGACTTAAGCCCATCACTAGTAGATATTGTCCACTTTCCTTCATTGCGTATCGCCGTCAACCTCACAGTTCTAAAACGCATCTACTAGAGAGAGGTTTCCTACACTTCTATAAGAAATGTTTCGTTCCCCTCTCCAACCGACGTGAGATCTCACCATTGGCTATTCCGAACAATTTGATACACGAGATCGCTCCGACCCTTTGAGCAAAATGCAACAAAAGTGGTAAACTTATAATTAAGAGAGAGAGAGAGAGAGAATTGAAGCATTACCGCAACATAGATATCCTTGAGAAAAACACCATAAAGAAGCCATGCAATAGCACTAAGTGTGAGGAACAACGACAAATAAAACGGCATGAACTCCACGCTCTTGGTGCGAATAACCAATCTCTATATAACAAACCAAAACCCCAAAAACATCATTAAAAACCAACAAAACAAAACAACACAAAATTGTTCTTAGCAGAATTTAATGATACTCACCATGATACTTAATGGAGCTGCAAACACACTGACACTAAAAGCCACACAAATCCAGCCAACAACCTTAACTCTGTTAGAGCCTTGCACTAACAAGTGAGTTACAAGTAGAATTAAGCAAAACCCACCAAAATTCAACAGAAGAATCAATCTCAAAGTGGAAACCTGTGAATTCATCATAAAAAAGTTAACTTTTTTCAACGTTTTTCGAATCGAAAATCGTAAAAAAAACCCTTCAAAAGTTCATATTAGATTACTCGAATGCACTTCGGAGCAAAGCAAATGAAGATCGCAATGTAAATTGTCTCGATGACACACCCAACCGAGTTGATAGTAATAAGAAGAGCTTCATCAGGCTTGAACGAAGCATAATATAACCACAACATTGCACTAAAAAGTGCCACCACATATGGAATTGATTGAAACCCTTCCGTTGATTTCTTCTTACAAATCCTCATAAACGTTGGCCTAACCCCAAAAAAACAATACCCATTTCAACATAAAGATTATATTTCAAGATCCAATATGAATAAAAAACAAAGATTTGTAATGAAGTTAAGCTTACACGGGAGCCAAGAACACGATGAACGAGATAATGTTACCTAAAAAAACCGACCCACGAAACACAAATCAAGTATGTATCGTCAAGCTCAAAATACGAAAAAGTAACGAAAAACAGAGTGTTTTTAAGGACTTCAAAAGTCGTTTGTGACAAATACGAAAAAATAACATGTACCCAGAAGACCGAACGCGAAAACGCCAAGGTGGTGGGTATCGAACAAAGCCATCGCTATCGGTTCGTGAGATTATATGATTGGAATGAAAGAAAAAAAGGGTTTTTTTTTTTTTTTTGAGAGGGGACCCTAAGGATCTTTCTTCTTCTTATTGTAATTACAAATGTGAGAAGCTCCCATTTATATAGGGAATGATTGAGCTATCAAGTGTGTGAATTATTTTTGTCTTAATAAAATATAAAATTGATATTTTTCTTTTTATAATTATAAAAATTAAGGAATAAATTAATTATTCAATCATCTTCTTTTATAATAAACCTTCCCCAACTCTAAACACTAATTTGATTAACATTCTAATAGAAAGTTAGAATCCTTAATAATTACATCCTTCTCAAATTAACCAAAAATGTAAACTTTTATATTATTATAAATAATATATTTGATATTTAACGCTCACCATGATTATATAAATCGCAAAGCACGTACGTGTACGTACGGTAGAGCTAATTCACTGAATTACGAAGTTAAAATTCCTAACAAAAAATCAGAGACCGCTCCAATTCTCCATCTACCCAAAATTCTCCGTTTAATATTAGTTACTAATTCTTAGATTTTTTTACTAAAAAACCAATATTTAAAAGGTCGGGATAATCTATCCCGAAAGTACCGTAGAAATCACCATTTAAACGGAGATTTTGCTGAATTTAAATTTTTTTTTCTTATAATAACCTAGGATTTATTTATATTAATAAAGATTAATATTTTAAGGTGAAGCACTAATAATTTGAAAATGAATTTAATTTTTGTTTCTTTATGATTTAAATTTTGTTATTGCGTTCTATCCAGCCTAGCTTTTGACCTTTCATCCGTGGAGGACAGCACCCAATAGCCTGCCTCCACGTGGCAATTAGTCCAAAAACAGATACAAAAGAAATATATAAATTAAATAAAAGTTTTATTATAATACTTAATTATATATATATATATTTATTTATTTATTTATGAAAAATATACAAATATCTCTTTAAAATAAAATAAAAAAAGACCTCCCAGCACCATATAATTGGAAATAATAATAATAATAATAATAATAATAATAATAATAATAATAATAATAATAATAATGCAAAAAGTGACAAAAAAGAAGTGGGATATTTGGTGGGGTTTTGGATTTGAGGATATGGTGAGGTGGGAAAGAAATTATTAAATTATTAAATTTTTATAGAAACCCAAAGGATAAGGTTTGTGTAAGTAATAGTTTTTTCTTTTTTGGTGAATGATAAGATTAGTTTGATATATATATGGCATAATCATGATTAGTGGAATTATTAATTAATTTAATTAGTTTCTCGACTTAATTTGAAAAAAAAATCCCGAGTTTAGTGTGTTTATAGGTCCTTCTACTTGTAATTCTAAATTGTGGTTTAGAAATGCAAACACATACAACATGACTACGACTATCAAGAATGATAGGACCTAAAACCTAATACATAAACATGATTATGATTATAAGGACGGGAAATATGTGTTAGGGGTTGGATATGTATTGCTTTCGTATTAATTGTTTGTGTACATGAACTCGGACCCATTAGGTAAGCATTACTCTCGTGCTCCCTAAGCCTAAAAATGTGAAAGGTAGATGATAATTGTACGCATATAGATAAATTGTGACTCGAGAAGAGTTTTTGATAGGGTGGAACGTAGAATAATTTCGTAGGTACCAATATTTGTAACTTGCATGGCTTGCAACCGTATAAATTCATCACATAATTATATGCGAATAATTGTCTCAATCAGTTGTGATTGTCATTATGATAATACATGCATCGTATAAATATATAAAATTATCTATTTTAGTAATTTAGGTTCAACTCTTTGTAATGGCACTAGCTAATCATACAATTCATCGAAAGAAGCTAAGATGTTCTGATAATAAGTTCACTTAGCGAAGTTTTCAACGAGAGATGAGAGAAAGGAGAACAACCCATTCAACAAAAACTCACTAGGAGTGAGAAATCGATCAAATTATGGGAGGAAATCGAATCCTTGCACGATCTTCGGAAGAACGACAAAGAGATATCATTCAACTCGTGCACCGCTTAATTTCTCACCTCTAGTTGAAGATCACATGGATTTCCACTAGCAAATTGTAGAACGAGACAAATACGACTGATAACTGTAACATCCCAAATATATTCCTAGCATATATTGTCCGCTTTTTGGTCCGTTACGTATCGTTGTCAGCCTCACGGTTTTAAAACACATGAGGAATTATAAGGGAGAGATCTCACATGAGGGAGAGATTTTCACACCCTTATGAGAAATTATAAGGAATGCTTCATTTCCCTCTCCAATCGATGCGAGATCTCACAGTAACGACCAAACTCAACTCTTTGACCTTTTTTATTTTATTGTCAATCCATCTTTTAAAACTAAGAGACCCATCAAACACAAATGTTAAATGTTCGAGAACTAAACTTGTAACTTAACTTATTCTTAAACACAAAATTATCGAACTTTTGAGCAAACTAAACTCATAGTTTAACCTAATAACAGTACCAACCGAGATGAAGATATTTTACGTTGAATCGAGCGTATGAGTTTGGTAAGCAATAAAAACAATGAAATAAAGAGATGGAAATGTTGGGCACAAAGAGAAGGAGATGGAAAGAATGCAATTATTGAGGAATGAATTGGTGAGTTTCCATGATAGACACGAATTCCCTATTTGCTTTGATTTGCTTTGCTTTGCTTTTCAAAGTTGTTATCTTCTTCACTTTGTTTATGAGCTCATTAAAGTTGCCATTTTGCTAATTATGAACACCTTTCAAGATATGAAGAATTACCTCTAACTTAATAAACAATTCCCTTTTGACTTCCCATCAACTTTTCCCCCAAAAGCTCCAACCTTTCAATATTAAATTTAACCCTACATTCTTATGCTTCTCGGGTTTTGTTTTTATGTAATAATTTGTTTCAATGATTGTGAGAATCCCGCGTTGGTTGGGGAGGAGAACGAAACATCCTTTATACGGGTGTGGAAACCTTGCGTTTTAAAACCTTGAGAGAAAGCTCGAAAGGGAAAGCTAAAAGAAGAGGACAATATCTGCTAGTGGTGTGTAGAGCAAGAGATCGTGTTAGATAAAACCTGATTTTTCCTTATTTAGATTCACACGATTACATTCATTCTCCGTTTGACCATTTGACAAACACGTCGAATGGATTAACTAAGTTTTAGATGGCAATTTAGTAGGAAGTGACACAGATTCAGTTGGCCACTCTCCAGCCATTTTTAGGATAGGTTATATTTAAATAGGAAATCTGTTCACAATATTTTCACAACCTGAATTAAAGGCGCAGTCAAAATTTCATCATTCTCTCCCTTTCTATTTTAGGCATTTTATTTTTCTTCCAACAACCTGTTGTTGACCATTTCCTCCCATCGAAAAGAAAGGATTTCCCAGCTGATTATTGAAATCCAACACATCGAACTATGTGCCAGCGAGGAGGCTGTTCCTTGAAGGGGGTAGACATGAGGTGATATGCCAATAAGAACACTGGGTCTCGAAGGGGGTGGATTTGGTGGGGGTCCCACATTGATTGGAGAAAGGAACGAGTGTCAGCGAGGACGTTGGGCCCCAAAGGAGGTGGATTGTGAGAATCTCACGTTGGTTGGAGAGGAGAACGAAACACCGTTTATAAAGGTGAATTGTGAGAATCCCACGTTGGTTAGGGAGGAGAACGAAACACCCTTTATAAGGGTGGAGGGGAACCCCGAAAGGGAAAGCTCAAAGAGGACAATATCTACTAGCGGTGGGATTGGACCGTTACAATGATTGACTCATTTGTAATTGAATCGTCATTCTTGTTTGTTTTCTATATCGATCTTGTCCATTATTCACAATACGAGAAATACGAGAAAAGGGTTTGCAAAATCCCTACAAAATAATGTACATTTCAACGTCATTTTCATACGTCTTCAAAAGAAGTTTCTTGGAATTGAACATGAACCAATCGTTAAAGAAAAAGTATTAAACCTTGTGTCATATTGTTATCATAAGTCCACAATTCTGTCCTGTTGTTCGAGATATGGTTGTTTAAGATGGAATTTCATCCGTAACAAAAGCGAAAAAGAGGACGAGCTTTTCACGGTTGAAGCACTCATATGTTTCGATTTCAATACGCAATTCGATTCATCCGAGACCACACGCTCCACCTTTCTCCACTTGTAGTAACAGAAGAGGTGATCTCGATTGGTTTCTACTTTTTTAGGCAATTCGAAACACTTGCAATCACATTTTATTTTATCTCCGAAAAAGTTACTTTTTGATGAAGGTCAGCAACTTTTGTATATTACAAATTATCCAATAATATTAAATATGGAAGAATTAGTGGATGATTTTTGAATTTATGAAACTTTTGGGCAATGATTGAAATGGTGTATGCATGAAATATAATGAATGGCTTAGCATTCCCCATCTTCTCATCAAAGTGGCCACCATTTTGATACCCCACCATTTAAAATATCTTGCTCATATGTTGGAATGTTTTTTCAATTTCATTTAAAAAAAAAAAATTGAATCTTTACAATGATTCATGCTCACGATTCGGAATTCATATTTGACACTTGATGACCTTGATTGTAACGGCTCAAACTCACCGCTAGCAAATATTTGTCCTTTTTAAACTTCCCCTCAAGGATTTTAAAACGTGTCTATTACGGAGAGGTTTTAACGCCCTCATAAAAAATGTTTTGTTCCCATCTCCAACCAACGTGGGATCTCGCACCGATATTCTCCTGCATCTCCAATGACACAAACAAACAGAGTTCTTCTTGCATGCTTTGTTCTTACTCGATCTCACACCGATATTCTCCTGCATCTCCAACGACACAAACAAACAGAGTTTTTCTAGCATGCTTTGTTCTTACTCACATGCATAAGAGGAAAGTTTGGACTTTTCTTCTCGAGTTTCCCCTCAAGATTTTTAAAACGTATCTGTTAGGAATAGATTTTTACACCTTATAAAAAATGTTTCGTTTCCATCTCCAACCGATGTGGGATCTCTTCTAGCATGTTTTGTTCTTACTCACATGCATAAGAGGAAAGTTTGGACTTTCCCTTTCAAGTTTCCCCTCAAGGTTTTTAAAACGTGTCTGCTCGGAAGAGGTTTTCACACCCTTATAAAGAATGTTTCATTTCCATCTCCAATCGATGTGGGATCTCACATTGATATTCCCATGCATCCCTAATGACACAAACAAACACGAGTTCTTCTAGTATGCTTTGTTCTTACGTACATGCATAAGAGAAAAGTTTCTCAGAGTTCACCGAACATAGAATTGCTCTCAATAAAACATGTTTAACTATAAAGTTTCTATAATTGAGCCACTAAATTTCGAAGAATGTACACTCTATGTGGTCTCGGATGCATCTATATTAATTCATTTTATTTTTTTGTAGCAATAATTACTTCCATCGAAAATTTTAATATGCTACAGGGACGAAATTGAAACTTTTAAGAACACTAGACGTTTTAATTTCTGTCTTATTCATTTATGGACGAATGTACTAATAAATTAAAAAAAAAATGGGTATATTATAATAAATTTGATTTTAATTAATTATAATAGAGATATTTATCTTGAAAACTTTAGGAGCATTAATGTGGGGGCAAAAACTGATTAAAGATTACAAATTCATACTGATCGGAATGGCAACTTGAGCCGACAAACTTTTTCATTGAGCAATAATGTTTTTCTGTTTTCTTGAGTTTTTTCCTTTTTCTTTTTCTTTTGTACATTTACAACATGCACTTGTGTTCCGCAGCCGCTAGCGATGAGATTCAAATCGCTTCCATTTAGTAGTTTTCGTGCCACCTCAATGGCTTGACATCGAAAGAGTAACCAAAACTTGTCCTTGACTAGCTCGTGAGTAGCATCTCGAGTCAGTACAGCGTTAAAAGCAGGTTTTTTTTTTTTTTTTATAGCTCTGCTGACCTTTTCTAGACCTCCTTCCTACCGGCCTGGATTGTCGACCAAATTTATAATAACTAAATAAAACAAAAAATAAAAGCTCTTTGGTCAACAAGACTGCGTTTGAAGCAATGAACATATGAGATTTATTCTCTTCAGAAATTTCATTCCTTTGCCGGATAAATCCAAGCATAGCTAATATGACACCAATTACTATCTTAGAAGTCGATGGTTTAACGTTTGCAATTGTCGTTATTAAATTTAAAAAAAAAAACGTTCTAGAAGATTATTGAATGATTATTTTTCCAAAAAAAAAAAAAACCATAATTGATTGAAGACTCATTAGCTTAATCAATAAAATGAGGATGAAGAAAACACTTCAATCACTTGTTGCTATAAATATAAGTGACCTACAAATACTAATCTATAAAATGAGTTCTCCAAATTGTAAAAGAGACAATTTTTGTGGGCATTGCTCTAAGTGTACAGTTTTGGGCTGGATCATGATGACTTGGGGTTACTTTCAGAGAGATTTGAGCTTCGTATGGATGCATTAGGGCCAAGAGTTTCATTTGATTTTCAATGGAACATCATTTCATTGAAGATGATTGGAAGTGAGTTCTCGATTGGAATGAGGCCTTCAGAAAAGTCTAAAGCAAAGTCACGAGAGCTTATGCTCAAAGTGGACAATATCATACCATTGTGAAGAGTCGGATATCAGAGCCATGCCCTAAACTTAACCATGTCAATAAAATTCTCAAATATCGAACAAAGAATTGTGAGTCTCGAAGGTGTTGTCAAAAGTGACAAAAGTGTCGAACAAATGGTGTACTTTGTTTGAGGGCTCTAGAAAAAGGAGTCGAGCCTCGATTAAGGAGACTCTTATAGTGTACTTTGTTCAAGGGAAGGATTCTTGAGAATTATTAGGAGTGAGGAATACTATCTCCATTGAAATGAGGCTTTTTGGGGAAGCCTAAAGCAAAGTCACGAGAGCTTATGCTAAAAGTAGACAACATCATATCATTGTGGAGAGTCGTGATTCCTAATACAGAAGAACAATAATACGATGATATTAATGTATAAGGGACAGTAAAACAATGGCATTTGGAACCCATTGTGCAGAATATACAGAATTCTCCTCAGCCTATCTTCTATTCTACTGTGTATATTATATATCAAGCTGAAATGGGGAAGAACTTGATTTTTAGGGTGAAGGAATATAAGCCAAACTCAAAGATATGTATTTCTTTTATTTACCTCTAAACAACAGATCCATTGATAGCCCGATTGATGGCTTGAGTGCACGCATGAATTTTCGAGATGAAGTATCTCTGTTGGTTCTCTTTCTCCGGGAAGGTCCCTCTGGAGCTCCTGTAGTTTTGATAGATTCAGACTTTGAACTAAAGATTGAGGAGCTGAATGAAGCATCAGCTGCGCCAAATGATGAATGGCCCCTCTGGGATGTCTCGTGTGGCGGATACCCTACTGCCCCATCTTGATGGGGTGGGGGAAACTTCTCGCTCTTGCTCTTAGCATTTGATTTGGTCGTGTTTCTCCACCTCTGAAGAATAGAGTTGAAACATTAACGGGTTAATTGGGTATGAAAAGATCGAAATGTAGGGAGGAGAATTGTGAGATCTCACGTCGGTTAGGGAGAATGGAATATTCTTTATAAGGGTGTGGAAACCTCTCCATAGAATAAGCGTTTTAAAAATCTTGAGGGAAAGTCCAAAGAGGACAACAATATTTGCTAGTGGTAGGTTTAGGCTGTTACAAATGGTACAAAGCCAGACACTGGGCAATGTGTTAGCGAGGAGGCTGAGCCCTGAAGGGGGTGGACACGACGAGGCGGTGTACCAACAAGGACGATGGGCCATGAATGGGGTGGATTGGGGGGTCCCACATCGATTAGAGAAGGGAACAAATGTCAGCGAGCACACTGGGCCCTGAAGGGGGTGGATTGTGAGATCCCACATCGGTTGGGAGGAGAACGAAACATTCTTTATAAGGATGTGTGTAAGTTTCTCTCTAACATAAACGTTTTAAAAATCTTGAGAAGAAGTTAGAAAATGAAAGCCTAAAAATGACAATATCTGTTAATGGTGGGCTTGGGCCGTTGTAAGAATGAATAAACAATGATGCTCGACTTACATCTAAGTTTGATTGTATCTCTGCATTAGCTTCAGGAGCTGGGACAGCCCGAGTAACTCGATCCCGTACTCGTACTCTCCTGCCACCACCATCAGCAGCTGTTGCTTTCCCACTTAGTCTTCTTCGCCTGAAATGGAAGCGTACATTGCTTGTTAAGACACAAGGACACATCTAGATGATGAAAACAAGAGCAAGGGGATGGGAAAAACAAACCTTCTAGCCTCCTCATCTCTCAACTTTATATCCAATTCTTTGCATGGAGGATATTTAGGCAGACTTGATGGTTCACAAGCAAGAGGGTTGGTAGTGAAGAACTGCAATGAGAAAATTACAAAAAGTTGTTTTTATGCAAAATTAGACACTTCTTTTTCACATAAGCAATGTTTATAGCAAAACTACTCACTTCGCTATTGAGAGCAGCAGAGGCAGTACCTCGCCCATCAGGGTCCATTGTAAGGAGAGATTCGATGAGAGGTAGAGAAGAAGATGGAAAATCCTTGAATGTTTCCGCAATGCAGCGTTTGTATGGATGTTGGGGTTTAAAAAGAGTTGCATTCGGCAATTTGTATTTCTTCCAGTAATCCTCCGTTGGAGAACCACACAATTTAAATATCTTATGGAGTTGTTCAACCTGGCACAAAAATGTTATCTAGAATCAACTTCACACAGTGATGATGCATAAATTCAAGATGAATTATTGACAAAAGAAAATATATTGTCAAGGCAGAATAAACTGAAGTGGAAAACTAAAAACACTTGCATTTGTTACAATATGAACAGGCTTGGAAGATGAAAATGTAAGCTAATGCATTATAGGTTAGGAACCACGAACACGAACCTCCACAATGGTATGATATTGTCCACTTTGAGCATATGCTCTCATGACTTTGCTTTTGGTTTCTCCAAAAGGTCTTATAAACTCATGATTGTTCCCTAAATTAGCAAATGTGGGACTCCCTCCCAAAAATCCTCAACACTTTAGAAGCTGCCACTAAACAATCTCGAACCCAAGCAACCCTACCCAAATCCAATTCCACTCTTTCGAAGAATGAAGGTCTTTCAATCTACTTAGACCTTCTTCTCGCTACTCTTTCTCTTTCAGAGGATTCAAATGCTTGAAATATCATGCATCAGCTAAGATATAAATTCATTGAATATTTAATGACCAAATCAATTATTTTTCCTAATCATTATGGATTCAATATTAATAGCATCAAATTTAATGGATCAGCGAATTTAATTCTTCCAAGACCTGGCACAATATAGCAAGCATCAGAGAAAAAAGTTACAAAATAAGAATATAGGTGAGGAGGAATAGAGATCAGAAGTAGCAAGACCTCTGTCCTTCCTGGCATGATTGGCCTCCCAGCGAGCAGCTCGGCCAAGATGCAGCCAGCACTCCAAAGATCAACCCCTATACCATAAAGAGTAGCTCCAAGCAATAGTTCAGGAGGACGGTACCAAAGGGTTACTACTCGACTAGTCATATGTTGCTTCTGTTGAGGATCAAAAAAAGTAGCTAACCCAAAATCAGCTATTTTAAGTATTCCTTCGTTGTCAATTAGCAAATTGGAACCCTTTATATCACGATGCAAAACTCCTCGATTGTGACAATGTTCAAGCCCAGACAATAATTGCTTCATGTAGCATTTAACCTGGTAGAAAAGTTACAGCCAGTCTTTTTATGCTTTTGACAATATCAATGTACCAAATGCCATAAGAAAATACAAATTAAAGACACCTCAGAGAATGCATTAACATACAATCTACTTTGGAGAAATTTGAGAAGGTCTACTTGTAATGGGGATTTTCTGAACCTAATCATCTTAGATCCCTTCCTTTATCAACCGACAGTTTCGAAATGTAGCTATTCATTGTGACTTAAGGAGGTAATAAATAACATAAACTAAAGGGTCACAAACAATCTTGTGGCTTAACTTGAATTCTGACAGTATAATACCATGTCTTGAGTGAAAGATTTGTGCTGGTTGAATGGAATTCAGCCAAAGATCAATAATACGAGGAAAATTCTGCTGAGTCTCTTGTTTTTCTATGTACTTAGAACCCGGAAGTAATATCTGAATTCAAATGTGCAAAGATGTTCAAGAAACTAAGAACATATTTTCTTATCTAACCCTGTCACAATCCAATTCTGAGAATTATTAATCTCGACCCAACCGGAACCAAATGAAGAACAGCACAATTTTGTCCTCTTGTTGATAATTGAAGTTATAAGCATGAAATTAGGCAGAAAACCTGCTAAATATGCTTTTTTCAGGGGAAGAACACAAAAGGAAGAACAAGGGCAAAAAGTTTGCAGAAACAATGAGACTCAGAACAAATGAAAAGAAAAGCGGGCAAGAACATCAATCTAAAACCGAAGCAAATTCCGCCGGAAAAATGTCAACTACACAAAAACAACACCAAAATTCATGCTCAAAAAGGAAAAAATTCTCAGGTTCAACCGATATTAGAAACAATCTGCATTAACCGGAATAGATAGATACCTGAGGTTCCGTGAACTTGACTCCTTGACCGGCAGCAAGTCCGGCGAGGTCGTGTTCCATATACTCGAACACTAAGTAAAGACTACACGACATTCTGGAAGTAACTAAGCCCTCAAGCTTAAGCACATTGGGATGATCGAGGCGTCTCAGAACCAAAATCTCTCTGGCCATAAATCTTACGCTCTCCGGTTCTAAATTATCAAACCTGACCTTCTTCAGAGCAACAATTTTCCCAGTAATAAGATCCCTCGCCTTGTACACATTGCTATACGTCCCTTGCCCTATCTGAATCACCAAAAACCAAAAATCACACAAATTTCTACAACTAACGAATCGAGACAAAAAGCGAAAAACAAAACGATCATGAACTCGTGGCACACACTTTAGCAAGCTTCTCAAATGTATTAGCGCGACGAGGCGTCCAGTCTTCCATCACTTCACCGGCAACCTCTAGCAACCACGCCGGCCAGCCTTGCTCATTTCTCTGACAAATACTCGGTGAAGGCCTCCGGTGCTCTACAGACAAGGAATCCACATCCTGCCTAACTCCTTGTTTTTCTGCCGATGTCGTCTGTTCCATAACACTCTTGCCATTAACTCCGTCGATATGAGAGTGGTGATCAATGCTCCGACGGCGACGGGGAGGTCTGGATGGGCTCCGGGAATCATTGGCGACTTGTCTGCCAAGAACGCAACCCATTGGGGAAGGTCACAGAGATCATAGAGTAGCAATTAACTCATGGAGAGATTGAGAAGGAAAATGGAAGGCGAAGAACAATTGGAAGAGATGAAAACAGAGAGAAGTTTTGAGCATTTGGATTCAGCGAGGCGGAGACGACGGCGAGAGTGAAAACTTCGAAGTTTTTTTTTATTATTATAATTTTTCCAAAGTAGAATTACGAAAGTACCCCTAGTTTACTGCGGTGGTTGTTGCGGGTATTACAATCAGGGGGGCCACCGCCGGAGATTTCACACACTAAACCAAACTGAAAACGGAAGAAAAGAACCTCTTCCGTTCCGTTCCGCTCAACCCGCGCAAAATAAATTAAATATTTACCAAATTAATCTAAATAGTTTAACGAGATTTTAATTTTAATTTCACTAAATTAATAAAAATACATTTATAATCTTTAATTTATTTTAAAATTATCTCTTTTAAACTTTAAAAAATTTCAATAATATCTTTATATTTTCAAAAAAAATTAATAATAATAATTAATTTTTTATTGTTAATTTTGACGAAAAATAGTTAATATTTTATTTTGTTTAAAAAATACCCGAATTTTGTAAAATAGTTTTTAAAAAAATACCTATAAAATTTATCGGAACCATTGACATTTTAATTTTTGTAAATAAAGTTAAGAAAAAGTTCTTAGGTAAAAAAAATTTGTGTATTTTTAAAGTTTAAGCTATTTTTGAATCAAAATATTGACCATAAATATATTTTTTAATTTCTTTTTTTGAAAATTTAAGATATTTTTTAGATTTTTTTTTAATTGAAGGATAATATTAAAACTTTTCAAAATTTATGAGTATTTTTTATTAGATAAATGACTAATGTTTAAAATTATTTTTATTAATTTAGTATTTTGATTTTTACTCTGTATCAGGTTCAAATTTTACCGTCCGTAAATTACCACTCGATTAATGCACAAATTAATTAATTATAAAAATATTTTTAATAAAAATACTTAGACAATTAAAATTTGAATTTTCTTTGTCAAAGTAAACCAATTTGATTACAATTAAAGTAATAAGACATTATAACATTCACCAAAAAATCATAAAATAAAATAGAAATAGAAATATTTTTGAAAGTAATACAGAGACCAATTTGAAAATAAATAAATTAAAAACTTTCTAATTTTATAATTTAAAATAAATAGAAAGTCAAAGCACTTATTCTTTTACTATTATTATTATTATTAAAGATAAAAATTAAATAATAATAATAATGAAAGTAGCTGTGAATTAAATTCTACCTACCGAGCTGAGTCTATTAATAAGTTTATTTATTTATTTATTTTTATTTTTATTTTATTTATTTATTTATTTATTATTATTTTTTGCTGAAAATTTGAGGTAGGAAACAAAAGCTACGTTTTTGTTCTATTTAGATTTTAAAAAACAATAATACCACTTTTATTTTATTTTATTTTATTTTTTTTTTTTTTTTGTTAATTTTATTAAGGTTGTACACGAATAGGTTCGATAAATGTTTTGAACTAATCTAAAATTTTGAATGGGTTGTGTTAGTATTCGGAGCAACCCATAATAAACATTTTGAACTAATTCAAAATTTTGAATGGGTTGTGTTAGTGATCCGAGCAATGCAAATAAAATTCACAGTCCAACTCATCACTATTATCGGTTACAAACATTAAATATTTTGAGTATATGTTAGGTGAGAGCCTACAAATAGGTTGCTTACTGTATTACCCTATGCTATTTTTCCTTTGTCAGATTCGTAAGGACACTGGTCGAGACGAGGGAGTGCTTGGGAGCTCAGTAGTCACAAAGGAATGTCAGACTTGAGGCATCGGTAGAGTCCATGATTCATAGTCCACGTTCCTTTTACACACAGTGGACACTACCTCATTCCCTGTTTCTTCTGCCTTCTCTTACTTTCATCATCACCATGCATAGTCTGTGGGTTACACCCAATATTTCGACGCGCTCAAAATTTGGATATGATAGGTTGGGTTGGGTTGAGTTGTAACCTTCTTCTCGAGTTGGTGGGGTTGACCCAACAAAAAAATGTCAATTCACGAACGGACCCAAATTTCCAACTTTCCAAAAATTCAATCCAATCCCACCTTCTTATGGTTTGATTGGGCAGACTGAGATAGTTAGTTATCGGGTCATATAAACACTCTTAAATCTTCTCTGATTTGAACTACCGAGCACGAAGAATACACGTGGTATATATACTTCAAATTTATTAATTTGTAGAGGGTAGAAGAAGTCTTTGTATGATAGAGAATAATTAAAGTACGTAATGTTTTAATTTATTCAAACCCATGCTTTGGTTGACAACCAACCCTCCATAGACTTGAATCTTTGCATAATTCAAGGAAATTACAAGTCCCATTCAATCTTAATGCTTTGACTCTTCCTATGGAACTATATGAATCTACTTTATTTCGTTTTCGTTTTGAAATTATTTTTTAAAAAAGAATGATTTTTCGTAAGATCAAAGATGTGGGCGTTGAAAACTAAACCATATATGGTCAACACAAACTAGAACCATACACGTGGCTGTTGTCGTAAGTTCAAGTCATAAGGGTTGGATCGAGTTATTAACTTATTGGCGGTTGTGTTAGATTCATATAAATTAAAGTTTTATGGAGTGTTGTTTCGTTTCTTCTTCTTTACTTGGTATTAGATTAGTGTCTTCAAACTCCCTGTCTCGTCTTACCGAGAGGACGTTCTCAATCGTCTTCATCACGCTAAAGAAGAATTCTTTTCCAAGAGAACATTGGTTGACAATCTCATATTTGCCTCTTCACGCACGTCAATGGAATGACGAATCACGAGCTCGACAACCTTTTACTTTAGTTTTTCGACCCAAGCCTCGGGTATGTTCATTTGTCATTTTAAAGTAGACTTGAAAAATAGAGTAAAAAGAACATTTGTGTGTGTTTTTTTTTTTTGTAAGCGCTAAGTTTCTTTGTAATTTTAAATTAATATACTGAGTAATTAAGTGGAATACACGAGAAAGATTCTATATTGGTTATACTTGCAACTTGTCTCAATAGGTTGAGTTGGGTTCGGTTGAAAAATCTTTTAGACTAAACCGAATAATCGGGTTGATTGGGTTAGTGACCTGAGTGACCTGAAAGAGTTCACAACTCAGCTCAACTCAGCCTTCTATTTTCGAGTTGAGTTGATTATCGAATTAATTTTCATTTTTAATTATTTAAATAAAATTATATTTATCTACGATACATGTTATATTAATAACTAAAATATCATCGAATTAAAATATAAAATATTTTATTATTATTAAAAACTCATTTTGTTTGGTCAATTTTTTCCTCTTGTCTTGTCCATTGAAAAATAAAGAAATAAATAAATAAACATTTTGATTTTGCTTCCTAGTCCTCAAGACTTGTCTCTTTGCATAATGACTGTTTGGTTAGGGTGAGGCATGAGTTGTTATACTTTTCTTGAAGGGCATTTATGGCAATACACTTTATATTTTTCTACAATACTTTAAATTTTAATAAAATATAATAACCCGACTCATCGATATTTGATACCCTTGTAAAGGTAAAGATTCTTTCCGAATATTCATATTTATTACGTTACTTTGTTTTTTTCGTTATAAAATATACTAAATTACATATTTATTACGTTGAACGTTTATTTTTCCTCTTGTTACATAAACTTAAGACCTCATTTGTTCTTTCGTATGAATGACAATGGACTTTCATCTCTGAGATCTCACATCGATTAGAGAGGAAATCGAAACATTTTTTTATAGGGGTGTGGAAAGAAACTTCTCTCTAGCAGACACGTTTTAAAATCGTGAAGCTAACGGTGATAAGTAATAGGTCAATGGACTTGAGCTTAGACGTTACACTCTCTCTCCATAAAGGTTCAATCACGTTTAAGCTTAAGGATTTAGCATAAATTTCAATTTGAATCATCACATTACAAACTATGAACACGAAAGAAGAGCTAAAGATCTCGAGGCTACCGTGTTCATTACAGGTGACTCGAACTCAAAACTCGAAACTCGAAACTCGAAACTCGATTTTCAAGTGGAAAAGCAAGGAAATCATGAAATAACATAGATGAAGAAGAACTACAGGCAGCCACATTTGAAAGTAAATTGTTAAATCTTAGTTTGTTGCCTATAGATTTTGGGTAGAAAGTTTTATACTTCTATGTTGGGTTCTAGTTTTGATACTTTCTAAGCCCAACAAAACTGTTGGCAGCCACAAAATAGTCTCCATTCTTTTAGGAAACAAGTAACTAATCGAGTCTATCGCCCCTAGATATTGTTACCCTTAGTCCGGTTATGTATTCCCGTTAGCACGCATCTGGTAGGGAAAGGTTTCCACACCCTTACAATGAATGTTTCATTCTCCTCTCCAACCGACGTGGGATCTCACAATCCACCCCCCTTGAAGGTCCAGTGTTCTTGCTAACATACCGCTCGATGTCTAGCTCTAATACCATTTGTAACAATCCAAGTCCACTACTAGTAAATATTGTTCACTTTGACCCGTTATGTACCGTCAGCTTCACGGTTTCAAAACGCGTCTGGTAGGAAGAGGTTTCCTCACGCTTATAAGGAATGTTTTATTCCCCTCTCCAACCCCTCTTGTGGACTGACGTCCACATTAACACACCGCTCGATATCTGGCTCTATTACCATTTGTAATAGTCTAAGGTCACCACTTATCCGCTTTAGCCCATTACATAACGCCGTTAACCTCACAGTTTTAAAACGCGTCTAGTAGGGAGAGGTTTCTGCTGCCTGAATCTATTTAATTGGGCCAAATCCACTGCAGATAAGAACATATGAAACAGTAATTTGATTACTGCTTCCAAAATAAATAAAGATATCTGCTTCCAAGTGGACAACACTACGTAAAGAAGGAGAAAAAAGATTTAAGAGAATAAAATAGTAAGCTTTGGGTAGCTCAGTCAAACACAGAAATGGCTGTAATGGGCCAAGAGTCTAGTAGGACCCTTACCTGTTAAGGAACCAGCCAACAAAGACAGTCTTATTTCTGCCTTAATCAGTGAACAAACCACATGCTTAACTACAGATGCACGTGCTTTAGACCTACAGTTACAGGGAGGATCAACATCACCA